GCTCCGGCTGCTTGACTGTGCTGGGCCGGGACCCGGGACCCGCCCTTCTCCCGCCCTTCTCCCGCCCTGCCCCCGGGGGCGTCGTGCGGAGGTGGCCTTCTGAGCCACAGCCACACTAAGAGGAGCACCCAGGCTCGCGGCGTCGAGTGGTCTTGTGTTGCATGTTTCTTAACTGTCAGCTGTGGTCCATTCACCTGTCACATGGAAAAACCCATCTCTGAGGACTTGACAAACGTGGCGTGCTTCTAAGCTAAGAGCCGAAGCGTGGGCCACCCACTTCTGCTTTTTTGGTTGTGAACCCGGAGGGCTCGGCAGCCGATTTACCTGGTTCTTGTTCTGGGTGCTGGGAGTGGGACAGTCTTTCCCTGGGATCAGATCGCCCTGCACAATCGGGAAAGCTGGGAGTGTCTTTATCAATTTTCCTGCTCTTTGGGGGTCTCCATTGTAAAGAAAAAGATTCGCAGTTGGGAGAAGGGCTGGGCAAATTGTTTAGTAAGTAAAACTACTGGTTAGACTTTTAGGACAGTTACACTTGCTAGTAATTTATACATTGAAATAATTCATAAAGGTTGATCATGAAAACCGCCAAGGTTGGGTAACAGTTCTCCACCGGTCTCTTGCATTTCTGCTTGTTTAGTGGAGTGAGGCACTGACTGCCCTACTTGGACTTTTTTTTTTCTCTATCTCTTCCTTTTGCGGTCCTGAATACTGGGAATTAAATCCCGGGCCTCCATGCTAGGCAAGTGCTTTCCCACTGAGCTACATCCCCAGCCCTTTTGCTTCCTCCAGAGCAAAAGGCAGGCACACCTTCTGCTCATTATAGAAAGTTTAGGTTTCCTAAGCTAGGACTTCCTCTCCTGTCATGCAACCCACTGGGTGCACAGGTGCCCTCTGGTCCTCTCTACACCACCCTGTGAGCATTGGAATTCTGGGAACAAAAATGTTGATATTCTACTGCTTCTGTGCGTAATAAATGTCTTTGTCTCTGAGCCAAGAACACTGTGTCTACTGCCAGCATCTATGAAATTGTGACATGTTGACTTGAAAGCTTGTAAATAGGGAAAAATCTCAGATCCTTCCGTTTTTGACAAGTTGTTTTGGCTTTTACATCCCTCCTGTTTCTAAGTTAAACATGTTGCTATTCCCTGATGTTCAGGTGTAGGCATTGTTGTCTAGGATAGATGTTTCTTCTTCCCTCCTTCCATGATTTCTTTCCCTCTTGCTACCAAGGTAGGATCATAATTTGGGTCAGTCAAAAACCTTGTTTCTGTTTAAACAATTATTCTAATATATTCACAGCACACAGGTGGTTAATGATGATCACTTTCATTTTTCCTAAAACCATTTCCCCACTGGAGTTGTCTTGTTTTCCCATTTGTTTAGTTTTCTATGTTCTCAGTGACTTAATCCTAAATTCTTGGTCACTTATATAAATTTCCTCTCAAGAGATTTGATTAAATCAGTTGTTCTTAAGAGTTTTATCTTCCAGAGACAATTTTGTTTCAACCCCACCACCATCCCTACTAGGGATTGAACCCAGAGTTTCCCACATTAGGCAAGCGATTTGAGCTATACCCCCCCACCCCAGTACCCTTTTTTTTTTTTTCATTTTTAGTGAGACCCTGTCCTATTAAGTTGCCCCTTGTCATTTGATCCTCCTGCTTTAGCCTTGGTAGAAGCTGGAATTATAGGTGTGTGCCACAGCACCCAACTCATTCTGAATCTAAATCTTTTCTCACTCTTTCTCTGGAAATGTGTAGGAATGTTCTTGATCCTTGGGTTCCAAATGTCACAGTGATGTACTTTGGAATGGTTCTGTCTTCATCTTGTGTGCCAGACACATGGAGGGCCTTTTCAAACAGAAAGCATGTCATTAAGTTTAGGGAACTTTTCTTTCTTACAAAACAAAACAAAAGCTTGGCTATTTTATTTTAGTTCTTATTTGTGGTATTCCATTCACATGATACAAAAAAATCAAAACTATGTATATTTGAATGGAGCATCTCTACTCCCCACTGCAAATGAATTTTACTGTTCTTTTGTGTAACTTATTGGGGCTTCTGGAAATATAAGCAACTTATTTTGTCTGCATATGTGAGGTGACATTTTGCACCTTGCTCTTTCTTACTTGTCTTTGTAAGAAATTATTTTTGTATCCACAGTGTTAGAACTTGGGACAGTTTATGACTTTTTCTTCTCTCTTATTAGAACCACCAGTTTAAAATATTGTTATTATAATTCTAGTTTACATATTTTCTAGTTTTTATATTCTATAGTCTAGTTTTTTTCTTTTCTCTATTTTCCATTTAAAATTTCCTCTCCTCTTCTATATTTTCATAGCTTTATCTTTCATCCCAGGGGTATTTTATTCTTATAGGAACATGTGTATGTCCTCATAGCACCACATTCTTGTTTAACGGGGTATCTTGTCTTAGCAATATAAGAATTTTACTGGTAGTGTTTTTTTATTTAGTCTTTATTTTCTCCAAATTCTCCCTCCTGGCCCATGCTGGGCAAGCAAGTGCTCTGCCACGGCGCCAAGTCACTAGCCCCTTTCTGCCTTTTTTTTTTTTTTCTCTTTCATGTATGGACTTTTCTTGGGTGTCAGGTGACCCTGCATTGTCTGTCCATATGAGGGTGTGGATGTGGTTGGGTGTTCACTCTAGGGCCACAGGGGACCTGCCCTACCAGTATCTTAAGTCCTTTTTTCCTGCAGAGAAAGTAGCTTCCCCAGCAAAGATTCTCCCTTACTCTGCCTGCTGCGAGCACTCTAGAAGCCACAGGTGGACAGAGGGCACGGCTGGGCTAAGGGTCTCCACGTCTGTTAACTTGATGCCCCAGTCTGAGCAGAGTCAGGCTGCCCGCAGATGTGCATCGTGTTTCTGGGTCCAGGTACCAGGAAGGGCTTCTGTCTGCTGTAGGGGGCTCAGCTGACTTTGAGGAGTAGGAATGATCTGACTGCTGCTTAGAGTTTCAGCTCCCTTTCCGTAGTCGCAGCCTTCCCCTTTCAGAGAGGTACTTGGTCTTCTGCCCGTTCCTGAGCACTGGGGATTTTGCACAGCAGAGTAGGTCTCAGGTTCCCTGTGACTGGTTCACAGTTCTGTTGTCTCGGGTCAGTAAGTGCCTGCCCATTGGCCCTCTGCTCTCCACCTTATAAATTGCTAGTGTGGTTGTTCCCTCTCCCAGTCCGGTGTTACTAAAAACTGAAAAATTCAGTATTGTCATTTTCCTGGGTTATCCAGGCAGTAGTGTGTATTCATTCCATTGTTTCCACTTGGAATTTATGTTTTTAAGGTAGAAAGTTTTAAAAAGAGACAAGCAGTAAGAAGCCAACAAGAATCTTGCACCCTTTTAACTTGGACTCTGTAGTTATTACCAGTCCTTCTGCTGCACACATTTGTATTTTGTTGCAAAACTGAAATGATTTATTGAATAACTTTTTTTTGTCTTTTCTCTAATGTCAGTATTCTGCATTTAAAAAAGATTTTTGCAAAATATGTTCTTGTGTAAAATGCAGAGACACAAGTGAATAAAAAGCCCCCATAATCCCAGCACCCAAAGATAATCATCACTGTAATATTTTAGTAGCGGTCACTCTAGTATTCTAGTAGATAGATGTGTGAAGAGAAAACGGAAACCTTTGCCTTTGTGAATATCTGGTTAGGGTGGAGCACACCTGTAATCCCAGCAACTCTGGAGGCTGAGGCAAGAGGATAGTAAATTCAAGACCAGTCTGAGCAATTTAGCAAGATCTTGTGTACCCCCTTTTGGGTGAAGATAGGGGATGCAGCTCAGTGGAACAATTCAGTCTGGTATGGAAGACATATTTGAAACAAATAATTACAAGAAATTCTTACAACAATTACAAGTTCATTTATTTTTTAAGTAAATGTTTATTGTATACTTCCTGTATGCTGGGCATCCAATAAAACAGCATAGTTCTTGCCCTCTTGGAGATGTATTGTAGTGGGTGGAGACAGAATAACTGTATGGCATGGCAGATGGTGCGAAGTGCAATGGTGGAAGTTGAGAAGTCCAAGACAAGACACCAGAAGATTTAATGTCTGGTGAGCGCTTTCTGCTTCCAGAATGGTGTCTTCTTGCTTCTTTGGCCCATGGCAGAAGGGCAGTGGGAAGATAGGACAAGTAGGCTACAGAAAGTGTGCCTTTGTGTAGGGATGGTGAGGAAAAGTCTCACTCGGAAGCTGCTGATTGAGTAGAGGGACCTTAAGGATGAGAGGAAGCAACTATGTAGATATTTGGGGGAAGAAGTTTTCAAGTAGAATGTATGGGCAAGGACAAAGGTCCTGTGTTAATCCTTTTTTGCTGCTACAACACACTATCTGAGATTAGTGATTTATAAAAAGACATAAACTTATTTCTCACAGTTCTGGAAGTTGAGAAGTCCAAGGCAAGATACCAGAAGATCTAGTGTCTGGTGAGCAGTTTCTGCTTCCAAGATGGTGTCTTCTTGCTTCTTTTGCCCATGGCAGAAGGGTAAAGGGGTGAATTCTCTCCTTCAAGCCATTTATAAGGGCACTAATCCCATCTGCACAGTAGAATCCTTATGGCCTGATCACCTCCCAAGGGCTCCACCTCTTAACACCATCACCCTGGGGGGTAACATTTCCACAGAGGAGTTCTGTGGAAATGTTACATTCAGACTATAGCAGGCCTGAGCAGGAGGATGTATACCATGTTGAGGATTTAGCAAGGAAGTTGGTGTAGGCAGAGGGAGTGAGTGGGGTGGTCAACGTGCCCAGAACAGTCTTTTAAGCCACTGTTTGAACTGGGGCTTCTGTGACCAGTGATATGGGGATTCACAGGAGGTTTTGAGCAGTGTAGTAGCATGATTCAATTTATTTATTTTTTATTTTATAATAAAGACCCTTGGGGCTGGAGTTATAGCTCAGTGGCACAGCGCTTGCCTACCATGTTCAAGGCCCTGGGTTCAATCCTCAGCATCACATAAAATAAATACATAAATAAAATAAAGGTATTATGTCCAACTACAACTAAAAAATAAATGTTAAAAAAATTAAAAAGACCCGTATTCTGAATTAACTTTAGGTTTATAGAAAAGTTGCAAAAAATATTAGGGTTTCCACATTTCCCCTTTCCCAGCTTCTCCTAATGGTGACACCTTCCAAATGCAGAAAGTGCTCACCAGACACTGAATCTTAGTGCAATAATCAAAAACAAAAAACACTCATTTACTGAATAAACTACACTCTTTATTTGAATCTCACCAGTGTTTCCACTAATGTCCTTTATTGGTTTCAGGATCCAATCCAGAAGGAGCTGGGAATGTAGCTCAGTGGTAGAGTGCTTGCTTGGCATGCATGGGGCCCTAGTCCAATCCCCAGCCCCCCCCAAAAAATCCAACCCAGATCTCACAATGTTGTTAATTCTCCCTGGTCTCCTGAAATCTGGAATGGTCCCTCAGTGTTGTCATTCATAATTCTTGTATTTTCTAATAATATTGACCAGTTATGTTCTTCAGTTTGGATGTGTCTTATGAGAAAATTATGGCATTTTTTTTGTAATTGGATTGAGGTTACACATTTTTGGCAAGAATATCACAGAAATGGAGTTGTGTCCTTCTCAGTGCATCATGTCATAGGAGTCATGTCATGCTTCATTGGGTATTGACTTTGACTTGGTTAAGACGGCTTCTGCCAGGTTTTTCCACTATAAAGTTAACACCTTTCTCTTGTTCTAGTTAATAAATATATTGAGGGAGATAGTTTGAGACTATATAAAATCATTTCTCCTTAAATGTTAGCACCAATCAATGATTCTTTTACTGTGGTTATTTGCCTGATGGTGGTTTTTCAATTTCCTTCTCCCCACTTTGGTTAAGTACTTGTTATATCAGTATGTGCTCACAGGTTTTTGTCTCTCTATGGGTTATACTGTCATACTGTCTTTGTTTCTCAAAGACATTACTTCAGGTGAGGTCCTGTGTTCTCTGAACAAACCCTTTTCTTCGGAAAACACACACACACACACACACACACACACACAATGGTACCACAAGGTGTTCCAGGCTCTTTTTGTATTTTTCCACGCTACAGCCCTAGAATCAACCATTTCTCCAAGGAGCCTCATTTCCTTATATAAAAGTTAAATCAAGATCATAATTAGGGCAGTAGGTGTGCTCATTATTACTGAGGCACCCTCAGTGGACAGAAGTAGAATATGTGTGCAGACCAGCCTGTGTTGGTGTGTACTTAGTTCTGTCTCCTTTAAAGCTTTAAGTTGTGGTAGAACACCCATAGAACTTACCATCTAAACCATTTTCAAGTGTATAGTTCAAGATTTTTAAGTACACTCACAGTGTTGTGTAACCAGTCTCCCAGAACTTTCCATCTTACAAAACAGAAACTGTGCCCATTAAACAAACCCCCATCCTCCCCTCTCTCAGCCCCTGGTGAACACCCTTTTTATTTTGATCTCTATGAATTTACCTACTCTAGGTATCTCATATATATGAAATAAAATGGCATTTTTCCTTGGCTGACTGGCTTATTTCACTTAGCATAATGTCCTCAAAGTTCATCAACATTGCAGCATATGTTAGAATTTCCTTCCTTTTTAAGGCCAATATTTCATTACATGAATACCCAATATTCATCTGTCCATGAATATGTGAGCTGTTTCTATGCTGCTATCAACAAAGGTGTGCATATATCTTTTGAGACCCCCTACTTTTGATTCTTTGGGCTATATACTCAGGAGTGAAATTGATTTTAACTTTTTATTCTAAAGGATTGATGGTATTCTTTAAATATGATAGAAACCATCAGTTTATCCATGAAGCCTGGGTTTTCTTTGATTATTTAAATTAGCTGATTACTAACTGAATATATGTTATACATGTATTCAGAACACTGGATTCTTATTATCTACAAAATACATGTGTATTGTTTTAGCACATACAGATCCTGACTTAGGATGGTTTGACTTATGATTGTCTGATTTTATAGTGTGAAAGCAGTATGCATTTGATAGAAACCACACTTCACATTTTGAATTTTAAACTGAACTTTTCTGGGGCTAGCAATATGCTGTATGATACTCTGTCACAGTGCTAGGCAGTGGCAATCAGCCCAATCAGCCTAGTGATCTCAAGGGAAAAAAACTAATACTATGCAACTACACTGGGTTGCTAAGCTAGGTCGTTGGTAGGTTAGGGGTGATAAATGCATTTTTTTTGTACTGATAATTGAACCCAGGGGTGCTTAACCATTGAGCCACATCTCCAGTCCCTTCTTTATATTTTATTTAGAGATAGGGTCTCGTTGAGTTGCTAAATGCCTTGACAAGTTGCTGAGGCTAGCTTTGAACTTGCAATCCTCCTGCCTCAGCCTCCTGAGCCACTGGGATTTTAGGTGTGTGCCGCGGTGCCCAGAAGATAAGTGCATTTTACTTACATTTTCAGCGTATGATAGATTTAGAGGGATGTAACTCCATTGTACATGATGAAGCATCTGTACATAATAGTTTCAGAATTGCTCCCCCATGGCCCTGTGAGAAACACATTTACTTGATTTACCATCTTAAAAGATCACTGGCTGCTGTGTTAAGCACAGACAGTGCAGAGAAGAAATAAGTTAGGGCAGTTAGATGGTTACTCAGACCACTTAGGTTAGAGATGGTATTGGCTTGGACCGGGGCAGTGGTGGCGAGGCACACTCTGATTCTGGATGCATTTTCAAAGTTGAATCCATAGTATTAAACTGATGCACTGGATGTGAAATGTGAGATAAACAGAAGAATCAAGGATGTTAATGGCAACTGTTTGAATGGAATTGCTATTAACTGAAAGCCTGTAGGGGGTGTGGGTTCTGGGGCAAGAATGGTTTGGGTCATTTTAAGTTTCAGATGTCTGTTAAATATTTAAGTGCATCTAGATGTCCAGTTGTCCACAGGCAGCTGGATAGGAGTTGGGTGTTTTAGGATTGGAGACAAACATTTATGAGTCATCAGCATATAGGTGGTTGCTACAAGGGCTGTTATGCCTTGCTCCAATCCTAGGACTACCAGTGTGTTCCACCCCTGGCCAGTTGCTACTGTTGTCTGAAAATTTCTTCATCTGTGGAAAGTAGCTTTGCTGCTACCTAATATGTGCTAGAATAGTCCAATATAAACATGGGATATTTATATTGTAACTGGGAAGTTGCAATATTAATATCCCATATTCTTGCCCCACAGGCAGAATAATGCCATGTCACATGTTTTTGCCAAATTCTCCAGAGTTACCCTGTGGGATTAAACTCCTGTTGTTCGCTTGGTAGCAGGCGTGTCAATGGCTGCCTTCTCTTCTCTATATAATTTTCCCAATCTCTTGCTGATTACTTTCACTTGAAAGCCTTGTTTCAGGTTCTGCTTCTGGGAGAAAATTGTTTGAAAGTTATGAGAATAGATGATATCACAAAATAAGTGGGTGTAGAGAAAAGAGGTGCAGATTCAGTCTCAGCACTGAAGTGTTGCAGCAGCAAGAGATCAGGGAAACTGCAAAGAAAGCGACATGTGCAGGGAAGGGGAGAGGGGGACCTACCCAGGGCTGGAGTGGTCAGGAAGGCCCAGGATAGAAGAGCAGGGTGATAATGATGGACAACAGCATTTAAATTGTGTAAGTGAAGGCATGAAGGAAATGAACTGTCAATAGGTGGTAGAATTCAACCTTGGTGGGATCAAAGAATTGCTGGGTTGACAACTCCAGAAATGACTTGTAGACACAGAGGGGTTATTGGAGAGTGAGGAGTTTAAACCCCAATGTGAAATTCTTCACTCTCCAATAGAGAGTTGCAGTTCTTGTTATTAAAAGAATCAGGCTCCAAAGTAAGACCATGGGGGAATCTTCTCAAGGGAGAGGAAAGAACAGGAGCTCTCGAGTCATTATTGCTATGTGAAATCATTATTTGGATATTGAAATCATCAGTGATTATGAAAGTAGTTTGGAAAGAGTGACACTGAAAAGGCAGCTAAAATATTTACGGTTATGGGTGACTAGCCCAGGTGCTAGGATACTGCAACAAGAACAAATAAACTGAAGATGTGAAGTTTTTCTTGAACACACTAAAATAGTGCTTACTATGTGTCAAGCAGGTCTAAGCAGTTTATAAATACTAAGTCATTTAATCTTTATAACAACCCTACAAGACAAGGTACCATTTACCCACTTTATAGGTATGGAAGAAGAGGCAAAAAGAGAATAACTAATTTGCTCAAAGTCCCTCAGTTGATTAGTGGTGGTGTTGGAATTTAAAGTCCAGGCAATCTAGATGGTTAACTTCCAAACTGCAATGCCCATTCATTTGGGGGTGGGGGCATTTAATGGAGCATGGTTTCCAAGCAGCATTGAGAAGGAAGAAGGTACCTCTCATTTCTAAGCCCACTGAAAGGAGTGTTATAGGGTGAAAGGGCCACTCAAAAGGTCTGTGAGGGTGTGGCCTAGATTTTAGATGGAAAGTCTGTTTTAATTTGTAAGTCATACTTCTGGTTTCACTATGTTTAACTTGTATTGCATTTTGTTCATTCTTTATTGCAAAAACCAGAGCTTTCAGAACACACTGATAGGAGGTAATTGGTTTTAATATTTAAGTGACAAATATTTCATCATTTGTTATTGTTTTTGACTTGAAAGTAATATTCAGAAAATATTTACAGAATTACAAATATGCTAAACCTGGGAGACGAATTTTATCAAATGTTAGGCATGTGTAAGAATTATTCCCCTTTTGGTTTATTATCCTTGATATTTTGTAATTGGATTTATCATTTTCTCAAGATTTATTATTATTTATTACTGTGTTTTGGGATGAACACACCTTGGTTACTATAGATGTTTGCTTTTATATATGAATGGAGTTGATTTGCTTTTATTGCATTCAGGAGTCACTGGGCCTGTGCTCACTGTGACAGTGATCTGCTCTTCTTTTTAGTGATTCTTTTGTCAGGATTATGTGAGTTTGGTTAAGAGGCAATTTTTAGTTTGTCAAAACTAAGTAGGATGGGGCTGGGGTTGCGGCTCAGTGGTAGAGTGCTTGCCTTGCATGCATGAGCCACTGTGTTCAATACCCGGCACCACAATAAAATGAAAACAAACAAAAATAAAGGTGTTGTGTCATTTAAAAAAAAAACTAAGTAGGATGACTGAACCTGATAACAAGACGGGCCTTGGAATAGGCAGGAGCTGGATGGTTGGAGTGGTATACTCTATTACCTGGCCCTCCCCAGCTTGGGTGAGACTCTGGACCTTCTTTTCTCAATCAGGCTTCTTATATGAACCTCAGAACATGATTTAAGCAATTCCTTTCTCAATTCTTTCAAGGATAACTAGTATCATTTTAGATGCAGTGAAACTGATTTCTATATTAACTTCCTAGTGCTGAGTAGTAAATTACCCAAAATATACCATCTCGAAACAGCACAGATTTATTCTTTTAACAGTTCTGAAGGCTAGAACTCAAAATCAATTTCAATGAACTAAAGTCAAGGGCTGACTCCTCCTGTGGGCTCTGAGGGGAGAATGCTTCTTTACTTTTTCCATCTTCTAGTGGTTGCCTCTATCTCTTGGATTACAGCCCTTCCTCCATCTTCAAAGTGCATCTCTCTGGTCGGTTTCCACCAACACATCACCTCCTGTAATTTGACTCCCCTCTGCCGCCCTCTTATTAGGTTACTTATGATTACATTTAGCAGCACCCCAGGGAAAATACATTTCCGAGATCCTTAGCTTCCATCACTTCAGCAAAGTCACCTTTGCCATATAAGGTAATATTCAAAGGTTCAGGGAATGAGGACCTGGATGTCTTTGGGGGCCACTATTTAGCCTGAGCACAGATAATATAGGACCTTAGGGCTCAATCCGCTTCTGGACTCTAGATGAGAAAGGCAGTCTACACAATATGCTTACCAGATCTGCAAAGCTTGACTGAATCAAGGTCTAACACAGTTCTGAATGACTCTGACAAAACTCCACAAAGTGGAATTAAGTGTGACTTGGAAGCATTAGAATAATTGCAAATGGCTTCAAGATGTTAGCTGATAATTCCATGGAAAAGTGTATTGGGCTTTATCAGAATTGTCATTGAGAGTGGAAATGAGAGGCTTGTTCTTCTAGGTCTGGTTGGAGGCAGGACCTGAGTATGAGTGAGCCTGGCTTGCCTTCCACACTGGGACCTGCCCTTGAAGAGTAGCTGGGATTGACGGTAAGGCTGAGCTGATACACAGGAGATGCAGAGGAGAATGACTGCCTTCTGCATGGTGGACAGATCAGGCTTCAAGTGGGCAATTTCCTCTCTAGAGAGCCCTGAGTCTTGATGACTATCTGGCAGGTGTGTGGAGAGAGAAGATGATGGGTACTCAATGGTTTCTGTCAAAACTTAAGACCCCATTCAACTACTTCAGATTTAGGAGAAACCAAGGCCCAGGCAGAGAGGTCACCTGCACGGATTTATAGTTAAGGGAGCCCATCCTTCTTAACAGCAAGGGGAGGGGGACATGGAGAGAAGCAGAGTGACTGAGTCCAACTGTAAAGCTGCTGAGCCCTGTAGGCTGTTAGAGGCTGCTGCAGGGGGACACAGTTTAGGAAATCAGTCCAAATTTCATGTGAAACAACTTTATGATCTCAGAACCTCTTAAACATTCAACATTCTAGACACAAGTTTTTTTTTTTTTTTTTTTAAAGAATGTTTCTTCATCTGGTTCAGTTGATATCAGAAGTGAGCAGCTGGTGGGGATTGTAGCTCAGTTGGTAGAATACTTGGCTAGTATTGCAAGGCCCTGAGTTCAATCCTCTGTGTACGCGCGTGCA